ACAGTCTCAAAGACCTCCCAGACTCACAGAATCAAAGAATGTGCTGAGTTGGAAGGGAAGGATCATGGAGTCCAGCTGCTGGCCCTGCACAGGACCATTCCCATGTCACACCATGAGCAGGAGAGTATTGTCCAAACACTCCTTGAGCTCTGTCAGCCTTGGTGCTGTGACCACTGCCCTGGGGAGCCTGTTCAGTGCCCAGCCACTCTCTGAGAGAAGAACCTTTTCCTAACATCCAACCTAAAGCTCCCCTGACACAACTTCAGGCCATTGCCTTGGGTTCTGTCCCTGCTCACCACAAGAGATCAGTGTCTACCCCTCCTCTTCCCCTCCCCAGGAAGTTGTAACTGCAATGAGGACTCCCCTCAGTCTCCTCTACATGAGACATTCTCCTTAAAGAGAAAAAACCCAGGGAAACAACAGAAGGTAGTCTTTCATCAGTACATTGTCCTCCTGATGAAGCTACTGAGGGCGTTGTTCACCTCCTGGTTCCTCAGGCTGTAAAGCACAGGGTTCACCAAGGGCACTACGATGGTGGAGAAGACAGACGCCACTTTCTTGCTGCTCAGCGAGTGGGCCGAGCTGGGCTGCATGTAGTTAAAGGCGAGAGAGACGTAGAAGATGCCGAGGGCTGCCAGGTGGGCGGCGCAGGTGGAGCAGGCCTTGCGCCGGCCCGCGCCGGGGCCCATCCTGCCCACGGCCACCGCGGCGCAGGCGTAGGAGCCGAGGATGAGCAGGCTGGTGGCAACGATGTTGAACCCCGCCAGGACAAACACCAGAGCCTCGTTGAGGCGCGTGTCCGTGGAGGCGACGAGGAAGAGCGGTGGCCCGTCGCAGTAGAAGTCGTCGATGAGCAGTGGGCCGCAGAAGGACAGCCGGAGTGCCGCGCCAGTGTGGGTGGCCGCGCTCAGCAGCCCCACAAGGAAACAACCGGCCACCAGCCTCGTGCAGAGCACGGGGGACATGATGAGCTCGTAGAGAAGGGGCTTGGAGACGGCCACGTAGCGGTCGTAGGCCATGGCTGCCAGCAGGTAAACCTCGGCCGTGCAGAACGCCGCGTAGAAGTAGAGCTGCGCGAGGCAGCCGGCAAAGGAAATGGCTTTGGTGTCTGCTGGGAGGTCCAGCAGCATTCTGGGGCTGATGGTGGAGGAGTAGCAAATGTCCAGGAAGGACAAGGCACTGAGGAAAAAGTACATGGGGGTGTGGAGGCGGGGGCTGACCCTGATGAGGACGATCAGGCCCAGGTTCCCCGCTAATGTCAGCGTGTAGGTGCCCAGGAAGAGCCCAAAGAGGAGGAATTTCAGTTGTGGGTGTTGGGTGAGTCCTGCGAGGGTGAACTGGGGCACCTCGGTGCAGTTCCCATCAGCCATCCTTCCATTCCTGCAGAGACACATGGAGGGTGAAACTATTCCTGATGCAATTTGCACTTCATAAGCATCAACGTAAAAAAGCTGGTGCTGGCACTGAATTTAAATGGAAAAGAAAAAAATGGAAGAACTGCTGACTTTTTTCTTACTATGACAGAAATGCTTCTTCCATCTCTGGAAGAAGCATCAGCAGATCTTACAAGTTTTATTTCCTTAAGTCTTTACAGGAAGTAGGTTGTCACAACCTCCCCTTTGACCCAATTACCTTCCAGTTTCAAACCCCATATCTGTACAAGGACATTTTTGGACATTTCACAAATATGGATGTTTCACAAATATCCTGCTCACAGTTGCAACCCTGTACCCTTATTCACACTGATGAATTTTCCTGTATTTCAAACTATTACTTCATTTCAAATACCCTAAGCCTACAGTTAATACAAGGTCTTACCACCAAATGAAAGCATTTAAAAACCCAGAGCCCCTTGTAATTAAGTAACAGAGAATTTATTCATTTCTTTAGATTTCTCTTCTCCTGCAGCTCCTGAGGTGAAATACACTCCAGGAATGTGTCTGCAGCTTGCCTTTGGTCAGTAAATATTCTCGTTTTGGGACCTGTGTTACTGGGAGAACAGTGATCAGGTATTGCCACTGGATTAGATATTTCCAACCCTTGTAATTGAAACCTTCCCTCAGTTCCTCATCCTGTTGATATACATTCGATTCCTCTACAGTCTTCACCCAGACTTGAAACTGCAGACTCTTGTGCCATTGAATCTGCATGAATTCTTGTATAAAAGTGTTCTCCAACATGTATTGTCCTTTTTCTCCTCTTCTCTTCCTCTTTGCTGCATTTTTAAGCACTAAAGTCTTAATCAAATCCTTAATTTTCCTGCCTTACCTCAGAGTTTCCTCAGTTTTTCAGAGTTCTCCTCCATCCCAGGGAAACTACAGGCAGGTAGCACCATCAGGCAGGGGTTGGTGGAAGATTTTGTCCATGCACAAGTTGATGTAATTGTTAACAGAGACTGAGTAAAGGCAGTCAGGACTTTACCTCCAGCATTGTAGCAGCAATTCACCCACTCTCTGTCCTTCCAGAGATCTCCATGTTATTTTCAGAGCCAATTATTATGCCACAGGCAAAAAACAGGCTGCACAGGTCTTTATGAAGCCAGAATGGAGTCCATGCTCATGGGATAAGAGATCACAGCCTCTCCAGGGCTCCTGGAAAAGAGAGTGAGATTCCTCCAAGGGCATGCCGAAGGGATTTCTCTCGGAAGTTTTCTGTTTGGGGAATTTGTCAAAGTATCAGCAATAATATGTGTGTAGGGTGATTGATTCTGCTTCCAGATATAAGTTTGGAAGAAATCAAAAAGCACAAGACCATGCATTTTGTGGAAGGATTTGATTTGGAAGAACTTTTTCTCCCTGTGTTTCTGGGGAATAAACTGCAGCAACTGTTTATTAATGGGCCGACGGTTTATTACTGGAAACCCTGAGTTTATTTTTGCAGTGGCCACTTAGGTTAAATAGAAACCCTTGGGAGACAAATCTAACAGGATATATATTTAATATATATATCTCCTGACCATAGAAGACGTGTAAAACTTCCTTTTGCACACAAAGAAACCCTCTGTGTTTTTCCTCTTCAGTCCAAAGGGAATGGAGGATTCCAGCAAACAACATATACCCAACAAGGAGAGAGAACGAGAGGAGTGAGATTTCATGGCTAATCCATAAAACCTAATTTAATAGATTTGGGATTTCATTTGAAAAGGGATCAAGGATTTTTATCTCCAATTTCCACCTCAGACAGGGTGGAAAGCTCTCTGTTTCTGCCATCTGCTCATGGAAGCACAAACCCTGTAGAATTGACCAGGATAGAGGCATCTTGTCACCAAGGTGTTCCTTGGAGACCTTGAAGTCATGAAGCACTGAAAGAGCTCAGCACTGGGTGTCTTTCAGGCAGCACTGAACTGAAGGCCTGACTTGCCTGAACTGGGTGGAGGGATGGTTGTGTTGGAAAGGAATTATTGTCCTTGAGCTAAGCAGGGTGAAAATTCCGGGTGCCAACATCGAATGCAGTCTCCAGGTGTCCTGGGTTTACTTGTTCTAAAAAACCAAAGAGGAATTTTTCTTTCCCCTGCTGCATGTGGGGGAGGGATGTTGAAGGGGGAGGACAGTTTTCTGCCTTTCTACCTCCCCAAAGGAGCTGGCTGGCAGAACTACATTCCAGGCTGATACCCCTCGCTGGGGCTGGGGTGGGGGTGGGTGGGGAGTTTTTCTCCCCTCCTCTCCTTGGAAAGTGGCACTTCACTTTTTGCCTTGGTGGACGCAGGGGGCGGATGTGTTGGAAAAGCTCTGAGCCCGTTTTGCTCTCGACCTGGTCATGTGGCTGCTCTCCAGCCTCGTCTGGCCTGTGTTATAGGTAAATAAACCAAATCAAAATTTAGCAGCAAAATTTATTGTAAGATTTATATAAAGTGCAGATAAGCAAATCAGCATGCTGGGTGGCCTGGAGAGACCCCTGCTCCCCACTGGTTCACAAGCCCAATAAAAACAAACAGCAACTTTTATACTTTTTCAACTCCCCCTCCCATAGTCACTTGTTAGCTCTTGAGTGGGCTTGGGTTCGCGGGCTTTGTTCTGGTTGGTTCTGTTGTAGGCCCATTTCAAGTGCCAGGGACTTTTCCATCAGTACTTTCCATCAATAGCTTTAATTAGCCCAATGTCCTTGGAGCTGAATATGGGAAGGTGTCCAGATGGTCCAGATGTTCTCCTTGGCTCTTTCTTTATCATGTCTATCCTTGACCCTCTGATCCTCGTTCTCTTCTTCTTTCCTAATGAGTAACTTAGCCAATATTTTTAGAAAAGCAGGATATGGTCTACGTGCTCAGTAAAGCAAGATACTCTATCTTTGCCAACTTGGGAACTGCCAGTTGCAGGACAGTCAACTTGTAATACAGCAGTTAACTATTCCGCGGCCTGCAACTCCCCAGTCCCAACCAAGCATTAGCTATAATATACAATATATATTTTGATGAGCAAATTATTTTATCATGGCTTACTTATTACACCTGCGCGCTGCTCTGTCTGCAACCTGAATCTGCTCAGAATTCATCGATGAAAAAGGGGCAGTCGTGACCGCAGCCAGCCGCAGCCAGCGTGAGTTTAGTGGGAACGAAAGGGCCCTTCTTTCCCCTTTGCCCTGCCCTGCTGGGTGGGGGGAAATCTCCATTTTCGGCCTCTCCCGCACCCGGGGCCTCAGGGGAGGACAGCCGGGGCCGGCAGCGCCCCCTGCTGGCCGTGCTGAGAATGGCGACAGGGACAGAGCCCCAGTGCCGATCCCGGCAGTGGGGTCTAAAATATGCATCCAACGCCTGTGTGCTCTCACCTAACCTTCCTCTGGGCTCAGGGGAGAAAAACCTTCCCAACTGAGGTCTTCTCCTGCTGTGACCGTGACCCAAAGCTGTGCCATCCGCTTGGCCCTCTGGAGGTGCACAGTTCTCCCTGCTAACTGCAAAGGGAGCCCAGAAAAGGAGTTTTGAGCCCAGAGGAGAAGTTTTGAGTCCCAAAAAATGAGTTTGGCTTGCAGCATCTAATTTTTAGAAGGTCAGTCACAAGCTGCAGTTCCTATCCAACTGCTGGAGCTGCAGAGGACGCCCGAGACTGGGCGAGGTGTTGTTGTGCTGTGACAGCCGTTCTGAGCTGTCTGATCCCTCTCCTTAGGGCACTTCTCAGCTCTTTGTTCCTCAGGCTGTAGATGATGGGGTTGAGCAGGGGGGTGAGGATTCCATAGAGCATGGAAACGATCCTATCCCGCAGAGGTGAGTAGGTGGAGGAAGGGCGCACGTAGGTGCAGATGGTGGTCCCATAGAAAAGGCAAACCACGGTCAGGTGAGAAGCACAGGTGGAGAAGGCTTTGTGCCTGCTCTGGGAGGAGTTGGTGGCCAGGATGGCCAGGAGGATGTAGAGATAAGAGGTGAGAGTGAGCACAAAGGCGCCGCTCCCCAGCACCCCAGCGACTGCCAGAATCACCAGTTCCCTGCTCCAAGTAGACAAGCAGGAGAGGCCCAGCACAGGAGGAATGTCACAGTAATATTGGTCCACTTGGTTGGAGTCACAAAAAGGCATGGTAAAAACCAAAGAGGTGTGCAGGAGGGAGTTCAAAAACCCTACCAGCCAGGTGCCAATGGCCAGGTGAGCACACAGCTTCATCCTCATGATGTTCGGGTACTTCAGGGGGTGGCATACGGCGACGTAGCGGTCGTAGGCCATGACAGCCAAGAGGAAGATCTCTGTGCCTACCACATGAATGAGGAAAAAGAGCTGGAAGAGGCAGCCCTTGAAGGAAATGCCCTTGTTGTCAAGCAACAAGGCCCCCAGCATCTTGGGCCCGGTGATAGTAGGACATAAGATATCCAGCAAGGCTAAGTTGCCCAGGAAGAAGTACATGGGGTTGTGCAGGCGGGGGTCTGTGCTGACAGCAAGGAGGATTGTGATGTTGCCTGCCATGGTGGCCAAATAAATGGTCAGGAACAGCACAAAGAGGAGCAAACGGACGTGTGGAGCATCAGAAAGGCCGATGAGAATGAACTCAGACACTGCTGAGAGGTTGTGCCTCTGCATCTTGTCTTTCATTCTGGAAAGGAGACAGAGGTTTCCCTGGAAGAGAGAAAAAGTTGGGACTTAGTCAAATTTGCACCCGCCTTCTGAAGAGTGCAAGGGGTCTGTTTTGCAGTTCAAAAACATTTGCAAGCTTGCATTGCCACACTCCAAATCTAAATCTGACCCACCTCTACCTCGTGTGAAAGGAAAAATGGAGGCATTAAGCTTCAAAGGCATGAATCCAAAATGTTGAATTCTTGCAAGTTGTCATCTCAGCCTGAAGAGCTGAAAGATGGCTTTACTCTGTCTGAGGTGTCCAGCTTGGTTGGACACAGTTGCAGGCAGGGTGAGTGGTCTTTGAAGGTTGTCAGAGTGAGGAGAGTGGGGTACGGATCCCTAGAAAGCCTTTCAGCATAAATTATTTCGTGATAACAGTGTCCCCAAAGGTGTCTCGTTTATCAGCTGAAACTAAAACTTATTTTTAGAGGAGTAATGCTACCACAGAAGAATTAAATCCCTAATAATCAAGAGAAAAATGTCCCTTCTCATGGCAGAGGGTTGGAACTAGAAGATCTTGAAGGTCCCTTCCTTCCAAACCATTCTGTGCTTCTATGATTTTGGTTCTTTCAGGTTCACCTAGTGGGATGTAAAAAGGGATCTAATCTGGTATCCAATTCAAGACTTCCCACCTTTCTCTACATTTTGCCCTCTAGACTTCCATAACAGAATTTGTCCTCTTAGGATCTCTCTGGACTTCCCCTTTTGCTCTTTTTTCAATTCAAAGAAGACTACATTTGGCATTCAAGGGTCTTCCCATTTATCCTGCATTGCTTCCTGGAATGTAACTCAGGATTTATGGTAAGGATTTCCATATCAGCTCTATAGGGAGATAAAGCAAAGTTCAGAATAAGTGCCTCCTTTCTGGAGATTAGAGCTTGATTATGGGGCTGTTGGTGTGACTATTGTCCCACGTTCTCATTTGTAAGAGATTTCATTGGTACAGAGATTTAACAGGTGATTATGATATCCCATCCAAGGCAGGCTCCTCTGTGCTCTCATGTTCTCACAGAAGCTTGAGAGGGACCAAAGTCAGAGCTTAAAGTACAGAAGGGAATATTTTAGTCAACAGAAATAAAAGGCAGGTTCTTCAGATGGGGAACTCATCCAGGTGAAATACCACAGAAAGAACCCAGAAATACTCACTGCTCCACAGAATTAACGACAGGTAATAGATAGTCCTGAGTATCCCCAGGAAACACAACTCTCCTTTTTCTTCCTTCACCATCGGATTGGAATATCTACATAGGACAGAACAATTCTCTCACTGTGAAGGAAGAGATGAGTCCAGGTTGGGCAGTGTAGCAATATTCACCCAGACCCCCGTGAGCACTGGCAGAAGGGCTGGCTGGGCTGCCAGGGTGAGCACCTCTCCTCTTTAATGAGGTTTATAAACAAGAAGGTGTGTCTGGGGACAAGTGTCTCAAGCTTTTTCGGGTGTTACCTTAATTGCATGTATGGTTTTTCTTTTTTCAGAATGTTGCCCAAGGGGACTGGAAATGGAAGGAACTCAAATGATCAGCACTGCTTTTGGAGAGCTATCAAAAAATTGGTTCCAGAAAGCATCCCTGCCTTAGTTTATGGGAGAATCACTTCCCATGTGATGTCCAGGACTAGGAACAGGCCTGTTCCTATTGCAGCAATACCTGCCTGTAGTTTCTGCCCTGTTCCCATGAATGACACTGCCTGTCAATCATTTCTCAAGCTTGCTTGCTGTGTTTGCAGGCTGTGACTCTTTCAAAATTAAGGCATCTTCCATGGGACAAGGGGGAACGCTTTTGAACTAAAGGATGAGAGATTTAAGGGACATATTAGGAAGAAGTTCTTCCCTGTGAGGATGAGGAGTTCCTGGCACAAGTTTCCCAGAGAAGCTGTGGCTGCCCCATGCCTGGAAGTTTTCCAGACTAGGTTGGACAGGCCTTGGAGCAACCTGGTCTAGTGGAAAGTGTCCCTGCCCATGGCAGGGCACTGGAACACGATGATCTTTAATGTCCCTTCCAACCTCAACCATTCTGGGATTCCCTACATTGGAGTTATCCAAGGGTCTGGAATAAATCCACCTGGTCCAGGTCTTTGCCTGTGTGCTGCAGTTGGCCCAAGGACCATAAACCCTCGCACTTCCCATGAAGTTTTGCAAGAAAGAATGAAGAGAATAATTTTGTGTTAAAGCCAGAGGCCAGAAAGGGATGCAACAAGGGGATCAATCCCATGCATAGCTGTGAGGAGAAGGAGGGCTGTGCCTTTCCATTTTCCTACACTGGCTTCATGTCACTTCCACTGCCTGGGACCCAACTTTTCATTGAACAGCCATGAGAGGGCAATACCTTACACAAAATCAAGGTGCCACTCACCCAGGACTACTTTTTGGACTGCTGGCTCTCAGCTCCACATCCAGTACTCCAGTGTGTATTTCCAGGGGTATTTTTAGTTGGGTCAATAGAAGTAGAAAGACAGGATGGTCTTTGGGCTAAGCTTTCTGCCTCAGGGTAAACCAGTCAATAAAAGTCCCACTCGTATTCCTCATCTTGCAATGCCTCCAAGCAGCCTGGAGATCCTTGGGTGGTGTAAAAATGCCTTTAATGTTGCCATCCCATAGGAGCTGCTGATATGGGCAGCCCAGTGAAAACTCTTTCTGTGTCTTGTTCATCCAAATTGCTCCGTCATTCCAAGCCACTTGGTACAAGGCAATTTGTGAGCTGTGGACTCAAGAAGGAATCCCTGGCTGAGGAGGCACAGTTGAAAGTTCCAGTTCTTACATTCTATTCTATTCTAAAACCAGTTATTAAAAAACAACACACAAAACACCCCCAAAACAGAAAAAAAAAAAGGTCTCTATTTGCAGAATGCAGATGTGCCCCAGTTGATGATATGCTGGATTAGCCCTGTTGCCCTCCCCTCCTGCCACACCAGGACCATCCCCAGTGTAACACAAGCAAAGGGATTTGTTTTTAACCATTCTGGGACTACCCAGCCTTGTTAAGCCTTGAGTTTTCCACCTAGAAATGCTTATGGTGAGCCCAGACTGACTGCAGTCCCTTTTCTCTGATGTCCATTTGTGTTTCAGTCCCATGGTCTTGAAACAAAATTGATTAGACGGGGATTTCTTCAGTTGACTTGGCATTTAACAAAAGCATTGTAGAGATCCTAGCAGTTGTCAAGGGAATACTTTTGCCCTTTGAGGCCATTTTTCCCTGTCCTCTGGATGACAGTGAGCTCAGAGCTGCTAATTTCCAGGAGAGAAAGAACTTGTGCTTTTAATGATGCGCAGTGGAGCCAATTTCCAGACGCTTCCAAACTCAACTGCCAAAGTTGCACCTTTGCAATTTGTCAGGCCCAACTTTTTAACAGCACCAACTGAGGCCTTATTAAAGTCATGCCAAGATGTTTCCTGGAGAGAAAAATCAATTGCATTGAATTGTTTGTCTTCTCAGAATGGTTTGGGTTGGAAGGGACCTTAAAGCTCGTTCACTCCAACCCCCTGCCATGGGAAGGGACACCTTCCACTGGACCAGGCTATTCCAAAGTATTGAGACACCAGCTCCCAAAAAGATGGAATTTTCATTTGGTTTTTTGTTAAAGCTGAGCTGGGAGATGTCATTGGAACACAAAACATGTAGTCCAAAACTGGGTGACCAGTCTCTGGGTGTGATTTCCTGCCTAATTTTATGCCATCTAAACCAGAATTTTATGAAATATGATAAGATTGTACGTGATTTCTATAATATACATTCTGAAATGTCTAATAAAAACTTGATTGGAATTCTTAAAAATTATCACAGGGATACATTTTAATTTTTTTCTCCATTGAAATTTACCCAATTGACCTGGAGGACATTTTAATATTTCAGCATTTCCCTCTAATACTAAAGAGAAAAACTCCCTTCCAATCCAAACCATTCCATGGTGATCCAATCATGATTCTAAGTAGGAATTCACCATTCAAATGAAGTCTGATTTGCATCAAGGTGGGAGATAGGTAGAAATCTCACTTAAGCAGGAGGATCAGGGACTCCCTGATGCTTCTGATCTTCCTCTTCTTTCTGCTGGTGTGAGAGTGAGGGCTAATTTAAGAGAGGAATTTGAGCCTCCCACTTCCTTTGCAACAATTTAGATTGGATATTGGGAAAACTTTCTTCCTAGAAGGGTTGTGCAGCCCTGGCACAGCTGCCCAGGGCAGTGGTGGAATCACCATCGCTGTGGGATTTAAAAGGCACGTGGATGTGGCACTTGGGGCTGTGGGTTAGTGGTGGCCTTGGCAGTGCTGGGGGAAGGGATGGACTTGCTGGTCTTAGAGGGCTTTTCCAATATAAATAATTCTGTGATTCTAATTTTGATGGGATGAATCCAATCCTAAATCATTCTGGTTGGTGCAGCCACTGCACTTCCAACCCTGATGGATTTGGTGATGTCATTGCTGCCCTCAGAAATAGAGAAACTTAATTACTGTGAGGTGGAAATGTTGCTTATTAAAAACACATCACAGAACAAAATCCTACTGCCTTCTCCTTAATCTTCTTCCCCAAACCCTGTTGTTATCTCCCCAGGCAGAATGCCGGATTGGGTCACTCCTTCATAGGATCACAGAATCCCTGGATGGTTTGGATTGGAAGGAACTGTAAAAATCATCCAGTCCCACCCCCTGCCATGGGCAGGAACCACTTCCACTAGCCCAGATTACTCCAAGCCCTGTCCAACGTGGTCTTGAACACTTGCAGGGATGGGGCAGCCACAGCTTCTCTGGGCATCCTGTGCCAGGGCCTCACTCCCCTTACAGGGAAGAATTTCCTCCTAACATCCAATTGAAACCCACCCTCTGTCAGTGTGAAGCCATTCCCCCTTGGCCTGTCACTGCATGTTCTGGTCCAAAATCCCTCTCCTTCCTCTATATTTTGTCTCTTATATGTTTTTAATAATGCACTTCAGTGAGAGAATTAGGACTATGTTCTGAAAGGTTAAAAGAGTTCCCATCCTTATAT